GACTGGTTAATTATGGATGACGAATTCTGGACTGTGATTTTAGTGACGAGATACATGGTATTATTATTGGTGGCCCAATAATTTGTATTGTCTATGTGTTGTTGTTTTAAATTGTATATTGTTTTTAATTGTTGTAAACCGCAATGAGTCGCCGACTTAGGCTGAGATATTAGCGGTATACAAGTGTATTAAATAAATAAATAAATAAATTCTACCATGGCCATCAGTGTCTGCTGGAGACATATTAATGTGTCTCTACCAGATGATCTGAGGGTCTGGTTACCTAGGATTTGTGTTTGTATTTCAGCAGCTGATAGCACACACACACACAAAGCAAGCAGCAGATGGATGGAAGTTTATCTTTATATAAATGAAAGAAGGCATAAGGGAAAATAGATTAGTGAAAATAGAAGGACAACCTACAGTAAACATGTTTGCCCCTTAACCCCTGAAATAACGAGACAGACAACAAAGGTATGGATTCAAATTGGGCAACTTTTATTGAATGTTACCTATTTAAGTTTAACTGAACTAAACTATGTGTCTAGGAACTTGGTGGCTAACCGAGGCAGCGTCCTCGGCTACTTAGTGTGTAATATCTGTGTGCCCTGGATCCCCAACCGGGCAACCTGAAGGTAAAAGTCTGGAGAAGCCTGTGTCCAATTATTGATATCAGCTTCTCTCTTTACTGTGCCAATTGATGTCCCCTCACCCATTTGCTGACCTCTAGGTGAGTGTTTGTTGTACACTGACCCCCACCCTTAAGGGGTACCTTGCGTATACCTCCATCTCTGTGTTTTCCTGAGCTATTTATGCTAGCCTAGTTAAACCGGACCACCCCATCTAGCCCCTAATAACAGTATAGGGTAGGTGAAAAAACCTCCCAGAACATGAGAGGCAAAAAATTCCTACCCGGCTCCAACGGGCAACCAAATATACTGTCAATGGGTGGGAGTGGTGGGTGGAAAGTCTTGCAAGACTGAGGTAAGGAGGCTGGCTCACGTGGTTAGCCAGCCCCTGCCCCTCTTCCAGGAGGTTCTAACGGAACCTCCCACTCTCTGCCTTCAGGGGGAGGGGTAAATCTCTCTCCCCACCAACTGTGTTGGTGTGGAGAGTCCCTTGCCCCTTAACCCCTGAAATAACGAGACAGACAACAAAGGTATGGATTCAAATTGGGCAACTTTTATTGAATGTTACCTATTTAACTTTAACTGAACTAAACTATGTGTCTAGGAACTTGGTGGCTAACCGAGGCAGCGTCCTCGGCTACTTAGTGTGTAATATCTGTGTGCCCTGGATCCCCAACCGGGCAACCTGGAGGTAAAAGTCTGGAGAAGCCTGTGTCTGATTATTGATATCAGCTTCTCTCTTTACTGTGCCAATTGATGTCCCCTCACCCATTTGCTGACTTCTAGGTGAGTGTTTGTTGTACACTGACCCCCACCCTTAAGGGGTGCCTTGCGTATACCTCCATGTCTGTGTTTTCCTGAGCTATTTATGCCACGGATTGGGGGCAAATGTCTATTTCGCCCCCATCCCCCACCAAGCTCCTCAAAACCTCCTGAATGCCTAACTGCAAATCAGCCAAAAATTGTGAGTTACCCAAATCTGTCAGGTGTATACCATCATAACGGTAGAAGTGTGTTTTGTTGTGCGTAATCTCCCTATGATGTATGTAAGATCCTCTGCCCCGTGCCAAAGCCGTGAGCATGGCCCGGTTCACACGCTTTCTGGCCTTCTCGAGCTTCTTGACGTCACCGCCTCCTGGCCACCGGAGGCGTGGAATGATGACCGACCAAGCTATGTGAACCCGGGGCCATGCCTGCCAGATCTTCAAAATGTCAGCACGAGCTTGTAGATACAGGGCCCTACCATTAAGCAGGCCAAGATCGTTACCTCGATATGGAGCACCAAAACATCAGGAGGGGGCCCGCTCCTGTCCTGGTTGCAGTCTGGGTTTCTGCGCTAGATGCTTTAGTAAGAACCCCAAGGAGAAACTCTGTTATGGAGATCAAAAACCTTTTAAATCAGTGGTTCCCAACCTTTGGTACTCCAGGTCTTTTGAACTTCAGCTCCCACAATTCCTGACAGCTGGTAAGCTGGCTGGGATTGCTTGGAGTTAGTCCAAAATACCTGGAGGACCAAAGGTTGAGAACCACTGTTTTAAATTAATAAAATGGGAGAAGCTCAACAGAATTTTGCTATATTTGTTTGTATGGCTGATCCCACGCTCTGGAATTTCTTCCCTTGAGAGACCTTAAGAGACTTCCTGCTTCTTTGCAGAGGGTTGGACCGGATGGCCCACAAGGTCTCTTCCAACCCTATGATTCTATGATTCTATGACTAGGAGTGTGTCCATATTGTAGAATTAATAGAGTTTGACACTATTTGTCTTTACTCGATGCTATGGAATCATGGGAGTTGTAGTTTTAAGAGGTCTTTAGTCTTCTCTAGCAAAATAGTGCTGGTACCTTACTAAACTACAACTCTCATGATTCCATAGCATTGAAGCAAGACAGTTAAGATAGTTTGGGGCTGGTACTATTTATAATCTATGTTTTAATTCTGATGTTATTTGCTCATTTATTTATATGATGATGATGATGATGATGATGATGATGATGATGATGGTGATGATGGTGATGATGGTGATGGTGAACGTGTTACCTTCCTCTCCTTGCAGCTCAAGGCTGAGTACAACATCATTAAAATAAAGAGATACACTATTACAATACAGATTTAAAATGCAGGTTAAAATTCACTGATAAATGCAGATTTAGTTCTGTAGACTGTTTTATACTATTCTAATCTTAATATTTTATGTTTGTAGTCATGTATGGTTTTACTTGTCCCCCATTTTATTCCATAACCTGCCTTAACTCTCACTTTTAGGTAAATGTAAGGATGCAAATAAAATGATTGATTGGTCAATGGAATGATATACACCAAACTACACTCAGAACCTTCTGATGTTATTAATGTTACATGGGATGCAAATTGCCTCTTCTTGTGAGGGCTTTGGGCAATGTGTGTATTAAAGTATTTGGCAACAGAATGGCTAAAGAATCTAATTCAGAGGAAAATGTAGATAGAATTTAGAGTTAAATGACATTGCAGAGGTTTTGTCCCATGGGGCTTGTAAAGGGTAACTTTTTGGACTACATTGTCTGTAATCATCAGTAGATTTGACTACTGGACATGTCAGTAGGGAGTTCTGAATGATATAGTCCAAAAACATTCTCAAGGGCTCATTTCCCTTGTACTTTCTGTAAAGGTTTTCTAATTACTCAGAAGTCACTCTGCCTTCAGTGCCATAAATGGCCAGTCAATGATTTATTTAAGAGTTGTGTTGCTAAAACTTTGAAATGAATTGGAAGCTAGGCTTACATAATTCCCAAATTGATTGCAGCTGTAATTCATATGGAGTGGGAGTATGACATGCCAGCCTTTGAGAAGTACAATGGTTGGCTCTTAACCCTGGGTGGGCATGAGCTGTGTTTACAAAACACACATCAGGTATGAAAGCCAGCTTCACATTTTTTAAAAATTAAGATTTGTGGAATTTGTCAGGTTGTTATACAAGAGGCATAATTTAGAGCCTTCATTCTTAGCTTTACATGTTATACAACAGTGTTGTGTATGTTTGTTGCATTGTGGGCAAGTTTCAGATCTTTTGTTTCTTAGGACTCCATGAATCCATATCACTGAGCAATTGGCAGTCCAGAATCTCCATCATGCATGGGTAAACTTTAGCCCTCCAGGTGTTTTGGGCTTCAACTCCCACAATTCCAACTCCAACAGTTGTAAGAATTAAAGTCCAAAACACCTGGAGGGCCAAAGTTTGCCCATGCCTGGTCTACATGGTCCGGCCAGGGTGAGATCACATTGGCCCAACTGGATTGTCACCTTACTGTTGGTGTCGCCACTGCTACCCTGAGATGGTTGCAAGAGCTTTGCGTGGTACCCCATGTTGGCATCAGCAGACCTGTATGGCCTGGCTGATTTCCTGTCCTTCTTACTAGTAGAATGGGCATCTCTGCTGAAGTCACCATGATGATTAGGAGCACATGTAAATCATATACATTTATGTACTCAATCATTTTATTTTATTTTTTTACAAAGGGAGCACACGTGGAGCTCTGCAGCCATCTCCTTTTCCCTGCACTGATGAGGCCTATATAGACAATAGCCTGGTCTGAATTGGGCCCAATCCAATTGTCCCCATTATCCGGAAGCCATAGGGTTTCTCTGGAGATTCAGGCAAATTCTGGAGTACTCCTTGATTGTTCCTAATGTGGGCTAAACTGTATTAATCTGGTGTAACCTTGTAATATGTACTGGAAGTGTAAGAATATTGTGGAAACAGCCAGGAATGAACTCAGGGTAAGTGTGGATTATAATGATCATGTAGAGAGTTCCTGGTTCTGTAGGCATCTAATTTGGAGCATCTATGAAATCTGCCAGAGTCCACCATTACCACATATTGATGCTTGTGTACAAAACAACCAATTCCTTTGCACTCAAATTATGTTTCCTCAACTAGGGATTACAGTGGGGACTATCTGGGCAAAGTACAGGGAGTTTCAAAAAGATGGATGCAACTTGAAATCACTATATCTCTGTAACCATGAACTGCGCATAAATGAAGCTCTTATCACTTGAAAGGGTGGGCTTCAAAGGATTACCGCTAGATGCCTTTCCCAGCACACAAACAGCCCCTAGCTTCAGTCATTCATAAGATGGTGACTCCACAATATGCCTAATGAGATATTCTCCACTTGCAGAGTTGTATGTATGTCTGTCTGTATGTATGAACATATGTGTATATATACGTGTGTGTGTGTGTATTCTGGCTCAGAAATGGTTAGTAAAACTTGGTAACTTGATAACTCACTGAACTTTTGTGTAATTGTAATATGTTGACAAAATGAAATATACTGCTTTGAAATTGGTCCATCATTTTGAAACACCCTGCATATAAATTATACCTTTGCTCCATATGAATTTCATGAAAATGTGTTTTAGTTAGAAAAAAAACAGGATATGAAAACATTCCAGGATTATTACAGACCCAACAGTTGAAAATAAAAATCAACATTCAAGCATAGTACATACAAAGGTATGTTCACATTTACAATTGTTTCTATAGAGGCACATACAATAATATTATTAACATGTGGTATTTTGCTCATTTTCCAAGTTAGTTAAAGAACTAGACTTAAGATTGTCTCACAAAGTTAGGCTGGAGAGAAAACTTAGTCTAAAGCCACCTTAGTGAGCTCGTGGCTTAACAGAAATTCAAATTAACTAAACACACACCAGCTCTTATATTACATTGCTCGCCAAATAGCTGCTAAATAAAAATACAATTATATAAAAAAGGGGAAAAGTCCCCAATAATACTATCTTCATATAAACATTCATCTACAATTGAGATAACTTTTTACTAAGAGAAACAATTCTTGGAAATTTAATCAAGATCCCATCTGAATTGTGCTTCTTCTTCAGTCTGCTCTTTTGGTTTCCTTTTCCAATTTAAATCTTTTTTCCACCCTCCAGAGAAACTCTGCAAAGTGCCATACTATTTTTTCATTTTAAGTGATTTTGACAACAAGGGTTTAACCTGGTGGCACAATGGGTTAAACCCCTGTGCTGGCAGGACTGCTGACCAAAAGGTGGGCGGTTTGAATCCAGGGAGAGGGGTGAGCTCCCATTTGTCAGCTCCAGCTTGTCATGCAGAGGCATGAAAGAAGCCTCCCACAGGATGGTAAAACATCCAGACGTCCCCTGGGCAACGTCCTTGCAGACAGCCAATTCTCTCACACCAGAAGCCACTTGCAGTTTCTCAAGTTGCTCCTGACATGAAAAAAAAACCCCAAACAAACACAAATAGAAAATGGAGGAGACTTTTATCATCGTACCAGTGCCACCTGAGAATGGAAACATGGTGAGAACTTGTCCCCACTTTCTTGATGGGAAGACCGAAGCCACAAAGGAAATGTTGGAGACCTGGCATTAGGATGGATTACACATTTGGCTCATTCCAGGCTTAACATTTTGTACTGGCTATAAAGAACAAGCCACTTTCCCAACAGCAACAAAACCAAGAGCCAAAGTTATCTTTCTTGACTTATGTTGCTGTGCCGAGAAAGGAAATAGGGTTAATCATGAATGGGAATTGTTTTGACCTAAGAAAGCCGCATTGGCCATGCTTTATAATCCAAATCTATGACACCTTGATTGCTGAAAACAACAATGCCGGAGGGAGCGTGGAATATTCTGCAATGTCCAGCACATTCAAGATGCTTCTCTGTTCACTGTAAGATAAGTTGCCCTTGATGTACAAGATAGTGGACAGATGCTTCTTGCTGTAAAAGAGATAAGAAAAACAGTGCGTCAGAAAAATTACAGTAAATGATACTAGTCTATAAACACACAAAGACAATTGTCTATCCATGCTAATGTATATAAACATGTTGTCAATTTGTTTATCTTTGTTTTGAAAGTAAATTGCAGTACCTAGTTAGATAGTTGTATAGCAGTGTTTCTCAACCTTCCTAATGACGTGACCTCTTAATACAGTTCCTCATGTTGTGGTGATCCGCAACCATAAAATTATTTTTGTTGCTACTTCATAACTGTAATTTTGCTACTGTCATTAATCGTAATGTGAATATCTGATATGCAGGGTTATTTTCATTCATTGGACCAAATTTGGCACAAATACCTGATAGGCCCAAATTTCAATACTGGTGGGGTTGCAGGAGGATTAATTTGTCATTTGGGAGTTGTAGTTGCTGGGATTTATAGTTCACCTACAGTCAAAGAGCATTCTGAACTCCACCAACGATGGAATTGGACCAAACTTGGCACACAGAACTCTGATGACCTACAGAAAATAATGGGAGGGTTTGGTGGGCATTGAACTTGAGTTTTTGAGTTGTAGTGCACCTACATCCAGAGAGCACTGTGGATCTGGACCAAGCTTGGAAGGAATATTCAATATGCCCAAATGTGGTCACTGGTGGAATTTGAGGAAAATAAACCTTGACATTTGGGAGTTGTAGTTGCTGGGATTTATAGTTCACCTTCAATCAAAGAGCATTCTGAACCTCATAAATGATAGAATTGGACTAAACTTCCCATCAGAACTGCCATGCTTTGAAGGAACTCACTGACAAAAACCTCCCTCCAGCCTCACACACTCTCCCTTGCCTGCACATGCTCACCACGCTGCCCTTTGCCAAGCACACCTGCTCTCCCCTCCACACATGGAGTCTCCAAAACACTCCTCCCCTTAGTTGAGGGGACGGCTGAGAGGCCAGCCAATCACAGTAGAGAAGGGCTTTTGGTGGGAGGATTCTGATGGTTTTCTGATGGTCTTTGGCGACCCCTCTGAAACTCCCTTGTGACCTCCCCAGCAATCCCGACCCCCAGGTTGAGAAACACAGCTGTATAGCTTTAGAAATATGTGTTAGGGAAATTCTAAAGCAGGCATGGGGAAATTTTGGCTGTTAGGAATTGTGGGAGTTGAAGTCCAAAACACCTGGAGGACCGAAGTTTGCCCATGCCTGTTCTAAAGGGTGTCCCAAAAGTTGCAATATATAGGGAAAATGGGAAATCGTGGTAAAATGTGCTTTTATTTACTAAACTTTGCAAAATATTCTCTACTTATTGTATATCTGAAAGTATAAAATAATAAACATATTAAAATATAATATAAATATAAAATATAATAAGAGTTTGTTACTTCTTTTCTATGTATGGGGACTCTTGGGACACCCTGTAATTATTTTCATATTACTAATATTCTTTTACTGTGCTTTCTTTATTCTGAATAAAAGTTAATAAAAATAAAAGAAATATATCAGTAAAATGGAGAGAAAAGTCATTAATGCAGTCTGGCACCGTTTTAACTGCCATGGCTCAATGCTATAGGAGTTGTAGTTTCACAACGTTTCTAGCCTTCTCTGTCAAAGAGCGCTGCTGTCATACCAAACAACAACTCTCAATTATCCATAGCATGACTGTAAAAGTAATGTCAAACTGCATTAATTTTACAGTGGAGATCACTTTCAGCCTCCTACTAACTTATTTTTCTTGAGGGTAATACAAATGACAATGCATACTGAAAGACACTTCTGAAAGCAACCATAGCACAGAGCAAAAATGAATGAATCTGCTTCCCTGGAGACTAGGACGCGGAACAATGGCTTCAAACTACAAGAGAGGAGATTCCATCTGAACATGAGGAAGAACTTCCTGACTGTGAGAGCCGTTCAGCAGTGGAACTCTCTGCCCCGGAGTGTGGTGGAGGCTCCTTCTTTGGAAGCTTTTAAACAGAGGCTGGATGGCCATCTGTCAGGGGTGATTTGAATGCAATATTCCTGCTTCTTGGCAGGGGGTTGGACTGGATGGCCCAGGAGGTCTCTTCCAACTCTTTGATTCTATGATTCTATGATTCTATGAATCAGAAGACAGACAATTCCTATTTGGGAAAGTTTAGAGCTAATGCCAGTGTGTCATGATAGCAGTGGTAAGAGTGCCATGCCCAGTATTCTTCATCTTATCCATTGGGCAATTGGTATGTTGACTCTTTATTGCACCCATTGAGGATGACGGGAGCTCTAATTTAGAATAAATTCCGTGAAAGATGTTACACTAGGAATGCATTTCCTCCACTGGAATAAGACATAGCTAATAATTGAGTCCTTCCTTGTCTGCAAATGAAGAAGGAAGTGGAGAACTGTGAAAACAGAAAGCACAGGTTGGTTGAAGAACCTCTGCTTTTAATTTTGTACAGATGATGGGCATGTCATCATGCCTACAATAGTAGTCTAACAACATTTTGAGAGTTAAGTGACTTCTATCCCTGGTGTAAGTGACAGAGCATTAGCTCACAGCCAGTGTATTACTACAATTAGCTTTATGATGGCAGGTAACTTTGTGCTTGACATCTTTCCCCTTACCTGATATCAGGATATTTCTGAGTAAGGGCACCAACTTCAAGCATGATGGCATTTATATCTTGGAGCCTGATGATTTCAGCTAGACTTGGCAATGCAGCATTCAGCCATGTGGCATTAGACCCCTACCAGGACAAAAAAAACTTGATTTAATCATATATCATGCCGATTCATTAATATTTATTTACTTATAGCATTTATATTCTGCCCTTCTCATCCTGAGGGGACTCAGGGCAGATCACAGAATACATACACGGCAAGCATTCAATGCTGTTAGACATACAAAATAGACAGACAGATAGAGCTATGTGTCTTGGCATTTTTCCAACTTTGGCATCCTGGAGGTTATGCATGATCCCGGCCACAGAGGGGTGGTTGCTCCATCCTCTATGACGATGAGCCTTTTTGATCATAGACTTTCCTCCTGTTCTTTGATCACTGGCTTTTTAAAATGGTGCCATAAAATACCTCCCTGCTTAACTGGTGCCTAATTTCTTTAGTCACAGATACATCTGTTTTTGAAGTGCTTAGGTGGACAGTAAGCTGGGCTGAAGGTTGGATGCTCACCCCGACCCGGGCTTGATATTCTATTGCTGCTGGTAATTAACTAGCTGTGCTAAAGCCCGGCCCATATATATTGCACTCTCATCTGTATATACTTGATGGCTGCTCTGAATACAAGATATGGAACTGGAATAGGTCAGAATGCCACTGGGGTAGCATTCTACACCATTGAATTAATGCAGTGTGATACTTCCATGGCTCAATGCTATGGAATCCTGGGAGTTTGGCAAAAAAGGTTAAAGATCTTATAAAACTAGAACCACAATTATGGTAACAATACTGAGCAGAGGCAGTTGAAGTGGTATTAAACTGCACTAATTCTACAGTGTAGATGCACCCTTTCCTCAAGGCAAAATCTTTTCCATTTTAGGCTAAGAAAATACGGAATATTAATGCCACTTTTGGCCAGGTAGTATGATTTGAATTCAGATTTCCTTGGCTGGATTTTTATTAGTTAAGAAAAAGTCCATAATTCACTAGTTGACCATGGAACAGCTGGATTCAAATCATTTTGACATGTGTTCAGTCCTGCTCTTCTTGAAACCACTTTTTCACAAAATCCGTTTTTTTTTCCATTGCTGCATCAATCTCACCATGTTTGTTATGAATCACATAAGAATATTTTTTAAACAAAAGTGTATGTGTACGTACTTCTGAATTTTTTTTTCAGAATATAAATGTGTTCTGCCTCATTGTTTACATTTCCAAATGTGTTTCTAGACATAATGTGCATAATGAAATGCATTTCGGAACAATTTGTCTGGCAACACCTGTATCAAAAAAATTCAACAGAGTGCACACACTGATTGAGGATTACATTCTGATATTTTCACTGGTTTGAGCAGTGCATATCAGATCAGTTTGATTCAGGATTTCTGAGGACAGAATTGCCTACACATCCCAAGACAATGCCTGTGCTTTGCAATGAGATGAACTCACATTCACTACCTGAGCATTAGCAAGAGGCCTGTCACATGCCACAATGACAGTCCAGTGATTCCGCTTTAATTTCATGGCTGCATATCCAGTTCATTGAAGAATTAGCTAGTGATTGTCAAATTCTAGTCCTCCAAGTGTCTTAGATTTCAACTCCCAGAAGGCTTAGCTCTCTTAGCCAAAGATCAGGGATTCTGGGAGTTAAAGTCCAAAGCACTGCAGAGAACAGGGTTTGGGAAACACCGACTTCTCAGGCTGAGAGTACCAAGTGATTTTTTGTAAACTGCAAATCCCAGGAGTCCATAAGACGAACCCATGACAACTATAACAGGGAGGAGTGATCAATGATAGGTAGAACAGTGCATCTACACTGCAGAATTAATGCCATTTGATACCCCTTTATCTGCCATGGTTCAATGCTATCGAAACATAGGACTTGTAGCTTTACAAAATATTTAACCTTGTCTATAAAAGAGTGCAAGTACCACCTCAAACTACAAATCCCAGAATTCTATAGTACTGAGCCATGGCAGTTAAAGTGGCATCAAACTGCATTAATTATACAGTGTAGATGTAATCTGCAAGAAATTTAATCAACCAGCATAGTAAATACACTAAATAGACTAAAATAAAGGTGATTTCCTAGATGTTTTTGGATTTGTTGCTCTTGTAGATGGATGCTTTCAATTCATTTTTGATCTACACGGAAACAAATTCTTTGGCGGGATTTGTTCACAGCGGGTTTGTTTTGTGGCTCAGAGTATGTGACTTGCTAAGGCCCCTTCTACACTGCCATATAACATCCAGATTATCAGCTTTGAAATGAATTATATGGCAGTGTAGACTCATACAATCTAGTTCAAAGCAGATAATGGGGATTATTTGCTTGGATAATTTGGATTATATGGCAGTGTAGAAGAGGCCTCAGAGTGACCCAGTGGGTTTCCATGGCTGACTGGGGATTGGAATCCTGGTCTCTCAAAATCCACTCAAGAATCTCAAAAACTAAGTTTTTCTTTTGCTTATTGCTTCTATTATATACCTTAGCCAGCATAACCAGTGGTGGGTCACAGGAGGCGTAATCTAAAACATCTGGAAGGCTTTCACCTTCCACTTCTGGACTAAACAATCTTATTCAAAACAAGGCACACTTTGGTAACCACAATGGTTGTAAGAAATCTGATGCTGGTGTCAAATAAAACATTTTTTTTCAAGCTCTGGATCCAGACAGATAGTTCATGACAGTTTGTGCCAGGGTTTGGTGTAGTTCTACAAGATCTGTTGGTCTTCTAAAATACTTTTCATGATTTCATTTGAAACAGCCTTCAAGACAGTTTGCTTTTCACTAGCAATCTTTCACCACAGAATAATGCTGAGTGGGTTTCTGAGTTCATTCTTAGTTCAAGAAAACCCATGAGGAAGCCACAAAGGTTTGGCCTTCTCATAACATGTTTGCATGCTAGGACATATCTGTGTTGTGCAAAGAAAATTCCTTGGCCTTTGTGGGACACACTCTATGAAGTTAAGTTGCCGGGTAACTGCTGGGTTTATAGCATTCCACTGATTCTGGAAAAGGAACATTTGCAATCAAAATGTTGTAGTGGATTTCAGGATTTCAGCTACAACACTCCATTCTTCTTTCACTCCCAGGTTTCCAGTTCTCTTTCTAAAACTCAATCAATGGAAGGTGATGGAATTTCCTTTACCGAAAGTTATTTAAGATCAGGTTTGATGGCTTTAGACTGGAAATGCTTTAACTGTGGGTTGGAATAGATGACTGTTTCATTTCTTTCTGAATATGATTCATGTTTCTCACGATTGATCTCAACATATAGTAACCTGAGTCCTCATAAGACTATTGTTTGGAAAACTACTACCCATGCAACTAAAAAGTTTTCTTTCCTAAACATCTTTTTAGTACTTCAACACAAAACTTGGGATTCTTTTGATTTTTCCTTGTATATGGGCAGTACTGTTTTTGGTTATTTTAACAACCCCACGTGTGCATTTATAAGGATGCTGCCTTATAAAACTAACCACCCCTTATCTGGAATTTTGAAATGCTATAATATCCAAAACTGTCTATATCTGAGATAACACACCTTTGCTTTCTAATGGTTCTGTGTCTAGGAGGGGCTGCTGATAAGTCTTCGGCTTTGTGTTTTGTGTTGTTTTTATGGTAACAAATTCAGTACCAATTATGAGGGACGTCCTGGATGACTGAGAGTGGTTGTTGTTTCGGTGATCGTCGATGCTGTGCACGACCTCATACTGGAAAATCGGTGAATTTCAGCTAAAGGAATAGCAGACATCATGGGGATTTCTCGTGAACATGTTTGTGTCATTATCCTTGAACATTTGAACCTGAAGAACCTATCTACAAAGTGGGTCCCCAAATGTTTGACAACAGATCAGAAAAGCATGCGAATGAAAACTTTCCGGTCTATTTGTCAACATTTCCAGACTGATAAGAACTTCCTGGATCAACTGGTCACTATGAATGAGACCTGGATTTATTTGTATGACCCTGAAACCAAGCAGCAATCAAAAGAGTGGAGGCACAGTGGTTCTCATCCAAAGAAGTTCAAGGTGCAAAAATCAGCCACTAAGGTGATGGTGTCTGTGTTCTGGAATAAGGAGGGTGTGCTGCTAGTAGACTACCTTCAAAATGGTTCCACCATCARTGCAAGGTATTACACTGAACTTYTGGACCAATTGAAGGCAGTTCTGAAGACCAAAAGGCGTGGCATGCTGTTGAAAGGAATCGTGTTCCTGCAACTCCTCTGCTCACACTGCATAAGCGGCCATGGCAAAACTGGTGGAGCTAGGCTTCCAGCTGGTTGACCACTCACTTTATTCACCCGATCTAGTTCCCTCCGACTATCATCTGTTTCCAAACATGAAGAAACATTTCAAGGGTACCAAATTTCACACCATTTCTGATGCCATGGCTGCTACAGATGACTAAGGCACAACCAAAATCCTTTTTGCAAGGTTACAGAACTTGGAATGCCGACGTAAGAAGTGTGTTGATATCAGTGGAGAGCATGTGGAATAAATGTAAAGTTTCATCTTCCTATCTTGTTTCTTTCTGAGTAAAGCCAAAGACTTCTCAGCAGCCCCTCGTACAAGCTTTCTTTCATGCACAACTTTATTAAAATATTGTTTGAAATTATCTTCAGGCTAGGTGTGTAAGATGTATATGAAATATAAATGAATTTTGTTAAGACTTGGGTCCCATCTCTAAGCTATCTCATTGTGTATGTATATGAGAATACAGCCATTACAAAATATGGTAACTTATGGTCCCAAGCATTTTGGACAAAGGATAATCAACTTGTTCTTGTATCTTGTACTGTCTGCTCCAATCAACAGAGAAGAGTCCTTCAAACCATTTTGTACTTGATCTATTCAACTGGAGATGCCAAGGATTGAACCAGGACTTTTCAGCATGTAATTCACGTATTCTATAGTATTAACTTAAGATTGTTGTTTCTTTGTGCCTTCAACTTTTGGAGACAGTGGGGAGTAACCCATCATGGAGCTCATGGTGTGAGACTTACTCAAGGTCACCCAATGAATTTCCATGACGAGTGAGAAAGCCAACCCTAGTTTCCAGATTCATAATCCAAGGCTCAAACCATGTTGGCCCTGAATCCATGACGCAACAACTTAATTGTTTAGCTTTAACTTCTTCTCAATTACTGGAATATGTGTATAGTCGCAGCACATTGCAAACAGAAATGCTTCATAGCACCCCAATGAAGCATGCAGACATATTTCTCCAAATGTCAACAAATCAGTGGCATTGAACTTACGTTCAGTGTGCAAAATGTTTGCAGAGTGAAAGCGTTGTTCTGGACTAAATCAGACAAAGCGATTTGCTGTTCTGGTGACCTCAAGCTGACTTTCTTTTTCAGAAGCCTTGTAATGTGTTCTCGGACCAGGTGGAGGTGTATTTTTTCGATGACAGTCTGTAGCAAAAGAAGCAAGCAATTAATCCTCACAGATCAGATGGCGGGGAAAGGGGGAGAAAAACACACACATCAGAGTTGTAAAAATGCCAGTTTAAAGACTTTCCTAACATACTCCTAACATGTTACTACAAAGTGGTTTTTATAGCTAGATAATCTTGAGACTAGAGGGAGAACAAAGAATCTTTCTCCTTGAAAAGTTTTTCCTTTTACGATAATCTTTTGGGTTAGCAGACAAGGTCAGTAATTTGCCTGAGCTCTGGAGTAATGAAGTCAGAGTTGGAGTTGGAAGCAATTTTGGGTGTAGTTGAAGTCAGAGTCAGTAGAAAGGTGCCAACTTCAGCTTCAAGGTAAATCCTTGTAGTATTAAGTGCCTAGTTTGTTGCATATTTACTTTCAAGGGAGTTTAAGAAAGTTTTCTTGTTCAGAAATTTGAATCAAATAAATATAGTTCCTGATCCATCGTCTATTCTAAATAGTCTAATGTTTCATGCAGTGGCAATGAAATGCCTTGTGTGACAATTTTGTCTGTAACTGCCTGTCACATACTATTGATTTACGAAGTGCAGACTCATATAATGCTAACTGAACCACATAGAACTGGATTATATGAATCTACACTGCCATCTAATCCAATTCAGTACAAGACCTGCATTGTGAAACTGGATTATATGGCAGTGTAGATGGGGCCTGAGACAAGAGGCAAAGTTGATGGCAATAGAACTGTTGGTAGAGTCTCCCATATCAGGCAGTGTTTTGCTGAGGAGCCAGACTGTTCCAGACATTTTGGAACATGCTGAGGAGCCAGCATGTTCCAAAATGCTACTGGGCAGCAGCAATAATGGATGACATTGGTGGAGGAGCTCCCAGGCCCTTTCTACACTGTCATATAATCCAGATTATCAAAGCAGATATGCCATATTATCTGCTTTGAACTGGACAATATGAGTCTACACTGCCATATAGTCCAGATCAAAACAGATAATCTGGATTGCATATGGCAACATAGAAGGGGCCTATAAGGCAGGAGGAAAAGAGGAGAACTGTATTCCATATAGGCTCACCCAAGGAAGTCATGGGCCTGAGTTTGAAAGAACAGAATCTGCAAGACTTGGAGGTCTCTCATTCATAGGGTTATCATAAGATGAAGTTGACTTTATGGTATTTAACAACAACCAGGCTTGCTATTCACTGCAACCAAAGGATTTAATGACAGAATAAATCACTCAGAATAAAATAACAGATAACCAGTTTGATGCCTGAGAGATAGCCAGAACTTATGTCTGAAATGCACAGGTTGGTGAAAAAGTATGGCCCCTTCCACACTGTCCTAGATCCCAAGATCCGATTCCAGATTATCTGCTTATCCCAGATTATCATTTTATTTCAGAGTATCTGTTAGTGTAGACTGACATAATCCAGTTCAAATCAGATAATATGGGATCAGATCCTGGTATATAGGGCAGTGTAGATCCAGCCTATATCATCCCATGAGGACTGATTCTGCACTTTCTGGATGTTGTTTAACATCTATATGCGACCACTTGCTTAGCTGGTTCGAGGTTTTGGGCTTGAGTGTTACCAGTACGCTGATGACACTCAGCTGGTGCTGAAGATGGAAGGCCGACCAGACTCTGTACCCGATTATTTCCATCAGTGCCTCGAGGCCGTTACTGGATGGCTGCGTGCCAGCAGGTTGAGGGTGAATCCAGCAAAGACGGAGATCCTATGGCTGGGTGGACCGGGCAGTGGGGACATCCATCTGCCCACCCTGGATGGCGAGGTGTTACGCCCGTCATCATTGGTAAAGAGTCTGGGAGTCCTTTTGGACCCTCTGCTGACAATGGAGGCCCAGGTCTCCGCCGTGAGCAGAACCGCCTTCTTTCACCTGCGGCAGGCTAGACGGCTGGCCCCCTCCCTGTCCAGGGACGACCTAGCTACGGTGATCCAGGCCACGGTCATCTCAAGACTGGACTACTGTAACGCCCTCTACATTGGCCTCCCTCTGTCGGTGATTCGGAAGCTCAAGTTGGTACAAAACGCAGCTGCTCGGCTTCTTGCGGGAATTCCGATGAGATGCCACATAACACCAATCTTACTACAGCTGCATTGGTTACCAATTGAGCACCGGATCACTTTCAAAGTGATGGTACTCACCTTTAAGGCCTTGCATGGTCTGGGGCCGATGTACCTGAGGGACCGCCTCACCCCCTACCAACCCCAGAGATCCCTCCATTCTGAGGACCAAGATCTATTGGAAGTCCCCAGTGTCAAGACCTTGCGTCTAACGGCAACCAGACGCAGAGCCTTCACAGCAGTGGCGCCATCAGTCTGGAATGCTCTGCCACCCGAAGTTCGTGCCCTGCGGGACTTACCAGCTTTCCGCAGGGCATGTAAGACATACCTGTTTCGACAGGCTTTTAATGTTTGATACTGTTGTTTTTAAATTGTTTTAAATTGCTTTTAAACTTTGTTAGATTTTAGCTATTCTTGTAAGCTGCTCCGAGCCCCAGGGGAGTGGCGGCATATACGTTTAAATAATAAATAAATAAATAAATAAATAAATTATATGGGAGTGTATGAAGTGTTCATGGCTCTCATTCTACAGAGCGGACAGGCTGCATTTCTTTCAATGTAGCTGGATCTTTGATTCATCAGCATTTTTTCCCGAGGTTACTGGGAAACTCCTGCTGGGAGCTCCAAGGTGAACTTCCTGGAGACTGAAGAGGTGTATGAAATGAAACCTGTCCCATCATAGCTTCCTCACATTAAGATAAAAGCTGGGAAAGCCCGATGAATCATAAGATGGCATATTGTTTTGGAAGTGAAAAAACAATCATAAACATTAAGAGGATTATGGCGATTGTGATCATCAGCCATGAGAAATATCAGACAGAAACAATACATTTGCCCCATGAGCAAGTTCCGATTTCTCACCAGTCAAATCGCATAAGTAATCTAATTAGCTCGGTGGTTTATTTTAAGAATACAAAAGTAGGAAATCCAAAGAAACAGCCCTTCATTTGTGAATTTAGATAGGCTTTTTACTTTGGAACAAACACAAAGTAGTAGGCTTCCAAAGGAAAAGACACGGCTCCAGTGGCATTACTAAAAAGGCAGTCATAAAGATTCAGCCCAGCCCTTGCTTAGACTTTGAAATTCAAAAATCAAGAGGAACAGATGGAAATAAAAGATAATTTGACTCCACCAGTTTGGGAGGCAAAGTGTGATATGTTGAGTCAAACCAGAAGTTCAGGAGAACATCTAGGGATATACTTACACTGTTTAACACATGCATGGAAAAACATTCTAATTTGGGGGCCTCATTCTAGCATTCCCTGCGAAGAGGACTGGCTGCCCGGTGATGAAAGGAAGGGAAGGAGGAAAGAAAGAGACAGGGAAGGATGAAAGGGAGGAAGAGAAGGATGGAAGGAAGGAAGGAAAGGAAGGAGGAAGGAAAAAGAGAAGGAAGGACAAAAGGGAAGGGAGGGGAAGGGAGGGAGGGAGGAGAGGGAGGAGAAAGAGGAGAGAGGAGGAAAAAAGGAAGGAAGGAAAGAAGGGGGGAAGGGAAGGAAGAAGGAAAGAAGGAAGGAAAAGAGAAGGAAGGAAGGATGAAAGGGTGGAAGGGAAGAATGGAAGGAAGGGAAGGAGGAAGGAAAAAGGAAGGATGAAAGGAAGGAAGAGAAGAATGGAAGGAAGGAAGGGAAGGATAAAGGAAAGAGAGAAGGAAGGAAAAAACAAAGGGGAAGGAAGGAAGGAGCAAGAGGGAGTGAGGGAGGAAAGAGGGAAGGAAGGACAAAAGGGTGGGAGGGAAGGGTGGAAGGAGAAAGGGGGAGGGAAGGGAGGGAGGGAAGGAGGAAGGAAAGAGAAGGAAGGAAATACAAAAGGGTGGAAGAAAAGGAAGGAGGGGGAGGTAAGGAAGGGAGGGAGGAAGGGAAGGAAAGAGAGGAAGGAAGGATAAAAGGGTGGAAGGGAGGGAGAAAGAGGGAGGGAAGGAGGAAGGAAAGGGAGAAGGAAAGAAGGAAGAATAGGATGGTGTGAGAGAGGAGGGCCTGAGAAAAGAGCTCAAGGGACCGCATCTGGCCCCTGGGACTGGATTTGCCCATACCTGGTTTAACACCACTTTAACTGCCATGGCCCAATACTATGGACTTTGTAGCTCTAGATCTTGTAAAACTTCAACTCCCATGTTTCCATAGCATTGAACCATAGCACTTAAAGTGCTGTCAAATTGCATTCAGTCAAAATAAACACATCTACTTCATGTCATTCCCCCACATTCTCAGGTATGAGCCCTTGCTGAAAATATAGACTGGAATCCTGTGGGTGACATACACCTGTGTAAGTTCTCTTACACATACAATTGTACTTTTTGGGCTGTTGTGCAAAGGATGTTTTCAGTTCACTGTTAAATAAAGTTCCTTCAGTAGGCCTATGGCCTATTGTTAGTCTCAAGTTGAGAAGCTCATTTGGATTTATTCATGTGTTGAGTGAATTGGTGGATGATTCAGTGAGTTGAGCAGTTATGACTAAACAACAGGATCCTAGACACACGGTTGTGAATTCTTGAATGGTGCAAAAACTATCAATGTACTACTTTATTCACTGGGATTGTACCAACAACCACTGTGCATTCCCCATTGTATATTGAGACAATAAGAAAAAAGATGGGTAGATACACACTCAGTTGGACAATGTTGGCTTTCAGCAAAAGGGTGGTGCAATGCAATCACCAGGCAACAGGATGAAGACAGATTGACACAACACAGCAAAGCACTAAATGCCTTAGTCCCGATGTTAGGAGAAAGGCAAGGTGTTAAACAAACAGATGGCTTAGATCTTTGACGTCATGAAACTGAGCATTGAAACTCAAGAACATATAATGAGAGATTATGAACTGTTACGTGCACTATGACATTCACAAATATTACACCTCACCCACATCCAACCTAACATTCTTGACATTTGACCTGCCCCCAAACTGGAGCCAGAGCTGGGAAAAGTTTCTTTTCTGAAGCATGGCTCTCAAACCCTATGGTTAGTTATCCTTCAGTTGCTGAAAAAGACTACTGGTTATCTCAGAAAATGGTTATGTACGTCATGCGTACAGACTTGTAGCCAGGATATGCATTTTTGTTAATATTGCAAACACAGGCGAAACCTGTTTTTCAAGGGGTCACAGGAACGCAGAGGGAAAGTGTAGATGTGTGCACGTACATGCATCAACTATTACTATAGAGCTAGACACCATTTCAACTCTCTAATAAACAAACTGTCTTTCTCTAGTCTTGCAGTGCTAGAATTCTGCCAGAGCTTCTGCTCCAGAGACTAAGACACAGACCTACAGAAAAAGAGCTTCACCTAAACATTAGGAAGAACTTCCTGATGACAAGTGCTCTTTGGTAATAGATTATTCTGTCCTGGAGTGTGGCAGAGTCACCTTCTTGGGTGATTTTAAACAGAGGCTAGATGGTTATGTGTCTATTTAAAAACCTCCAAAGACGGAGGCTCCATTGCACTTCAAGGAGGTGTCTTCCACTGTTGAACAGCTCTCACCACCAGGAAGTTCTTCCAAATCTTTAAGTGGAATCTCTTTTATGAGTAAACACTTCTGAGCAACCTCTCCTCCTGCCCTGTCCTGGGATCACAAAACCACAACCAGAAATGAGTTCATGGTTCTTTTTTGTGTGTGTCAGGAGCGACTTGAGAAATTGCAAGTCACTTCTGGTGTGAGAGAATTGGCCGTCTGCAAGGTCATTGCCCATGGGGCACCTGGATGTTTTGATGTTTTACCATCCTTGTGGGAGGCTTCTCTCATGTCACTGCATGGGGAGCTGGAGCTAACAGAGGGAACTCATCCGCACTCTCCCTGGCTTCGAACCTCTGACCTCTCGGTCTTCAGTCCTGCCAGCACAAGGGTTTAACCTATTGCACCACTGGGGGCTCTGTCTTCATGTTGATTCCATGCCAATTTTCAAGTTGAAGATGGCGCACAATACAGTCCACTATAAAGGCATGGGATGATAATTGAACCCTTGGATTCTGCACATGTGCCCACACCCTGCAAGCCTTAAAGGGCATTGCTTCAGCTCACCTGAAAAAGAGGGTCCTTGAGAGTTCTGAATGTAGAAATGTAGCGACTTGTGGTTGCTATGATCTCATGTATAACGTCATCGCAGGAGATCCACTTCTTCTGGGTAAACGTTTTAAAAAGAGGCTGAAGAAAGTTTTGTAAAATTATTAAACAGGTGAGGCCAAATCTAATGATTTTAAATCAAGAAACTAGATTTCAACTGAACATCCATAGGAACTTAATGACAGTAAAATCAATGTGGCAATGCCCACATGCCCACCCTGCAATGGTTGCTATGCAGATTCAGCTCTGTCCTCAAGCATAAGGCATTAATAAACTGGGAATGCTCCAGGAGAGCTGCCCGATTGCTGCTGCTGCTTGGCTGACAATTGTCACATTATGTTGGCAGAACTTTACACTTCACCAGCTTCAAATGGGATTCCAGTCCCCAAAGAAATGGATGAAGGTTTTCTTTCGATCTGGGGTGCACACATTCAGTTTAGAGTTGCAGTAGTGAAACCTATATGTGGATTGAACATTAATGTGTAGGTATATTGCATATGAATGTTCATGGAAATTGTATTTATGCACATCTGCTGCATATTGACATGCAGGTTTTTCTGGTTTTTTTTTTTTTGGTTTTTTTTTAGGTTTCCAGGAGGGTAGATTTCTATGACTGGTAACATCCTGACAATAAGAAAGGTTTGGCAATGCAATTAATTACTTGACTGGGCCTCCTTCTCTGGCCATCTTCCAAAAAAGGGGGAATTGTTTTTGCCAGGGGAATTCTTTTTGCACATGTGCTGTAGCATCTTTTTGCTTTTTTAGCTTTTTAAGTCCCTTCCATTGTGTTTTTCAGTGTTTTATGAGTGATGGTCACTTGTTGGCCTAATAGGTGTCTTGTGTCCAAATTTGGTGTCAATTCATCCAGTGGTTTTTGAGTTATGTTAATCCCACAAACGAACATGGCATTTTTATTTATATAGATGAATGTGCATTGTACACGGGTGTTCATGCATACTTGGTTGTATTTGCCATTTCACATTGTGTGTCTCAGTTCAGTTGTGCCATTCAACACAAGGATGGCATAACACAATTAATGCATAATTCTGCACATGGAGTATAATGTTACTTGACTCAGTTGCAAGTTCTTGATGGTAGGCTATGGATAGTTTAACTCACTCAGGATAGACAGGTTACATTTTCCAATAGAGGTGGCTTCAAGGAATATAATGGCACTGCTACAATTGTCATTACTCTCACAAAGACATATCTGTGTCATTCCATCTACTGATAGGACTGTTCCTATTGTGTCAATATGTATTGTGTATATGGATATTGGGGCCATGGTAGTGCAGCGGTTTAAACCGCTAAGCTCCAGAACTTGTTTATCGGAAGGTCACTGGTTAGAACCTGCGGATGGGGTGAGCTCCTGTTGCTAGCCCTAGCTTCTGCCAACATTGCAGTTCGAAAACATGCAAATGTGAGTAGATCAATAGGTACTGCTCTGGTGGGAAGATTACCTCTAGCTGCTGAAACAGTCCTTGAAGGAGCGCAGTGAACCCAGCATTCTGGATTTCGTTAAGTGTGGTGAAAATTTTCGTTTTGATGTAATCTTGTGCTGATGATGTTGTGCTTTCTTTCGCATGGGTCCTGAAGGGGGTGAAAGAAACCCAGAAAAGACATTGCAATTTTGTTGTATCATTCAGTTTAAAATGCCTTCCACACTCAACTCACAAACGTCTGCAATGCTAAAGTAGAAAATGATACAAATTATTGACCAGATCCAATGTAGTGATATCTTTACTGAACCAACTAGAAGATGCAAAATTATGATGTTTATTGGATTCTTCAGCAGGAAAAAATATTTTAAAGAAAAATATCATAAAAAATATCATAAAATGATGCTATATAAATGTCACTAGGCTCTATGTTGTTTGTTTCAGATGTCAGAGAGAGACTCCCATTTCTCTCTCTCACTCCAAATGCCTTTTGGGTGCTTAGAAGAGTTTTGTTAAACATATTTTAGCTTTCCCAGGCCCATCCATACTGCCATATAATCCGGTTTCTGAATCTAGATGATCTGCTTTTAACTGTCTTATTTGGCAATGTATACTCGTATAATCCAGCTCAAATCAGATAATCCGGATTCAGAAACTGGATTATATGGCAGTGTAGATCCAGTCCCAAGCACAAAAACAGAAACAGGACGAGACTTCCAGTTAGTGTTGTTAAAAAAAGATTTCCCTTAATACCTAACAGTTCAGCTCTCCCCCAAATTGCATGGTAGAAATAGCTCATTGAGGGCGTCTGAAAGCATTTTGGGCAAAATTATTATTATTATTATTGGGTTGCTGTGAGTTTTCCAGGCTGTATGGCTATATTCCAGAAGCAATCTCTCTTGATGTTGTGTCTGCATCTATGGCAGGCATCCTCAGAGATTGTGAGGTCTCACAACCTCTGAGGATGCCTGTCATAGATGTGGGAGAAACATCAGGATAGAATGCTTCTGGAACATGGCCATATGGCCTGGAAAACTCACAGCAACCCAGTGATTCCAGCCATGAAAGCCTTCTACAATATATTATTATTATTGTGTTTATTTATAACCAATTTACTTGTGTGGTTTTCCAAGGCTTCCTGAGAAGGTTAATGGGTTATCCAGCTTTACACTAGTGGCTATATCTCTCTTTATGAATCTATTCGAATATTGCTATTATCTGATAAGGACCTTGTTACTGCCCCACTCTTCTATCAAGCTTTTAAAATAGTAACAAGGAGAGGGCCTTTTCAGTGGCTGCTCCCAGTCTCTGGAACTCCCTCCCAAGAGGACCAGGGTGGCCCTGTTCCTGCTGGCTTTTTGTAGGCAGCTAAAACATCCCTCTGCCATCAGGCATTTAGAAGCTGATGAGGGACAGCTTTTTAAAGGCAATGCGATTGGGATTCTAAGGTGGGCATAAGGTTGAAATAGATTTTAAACCCTTGTGCCGGCTGAACTGCTGACCTAAAGGTCAGCGGTTCAAATTCACAAGATGGGGTGAGCTCCCATCTGTCAGGTCCAGCTTCTCATGCGGGGGCATGAGAGAAGCCTCCCATGGGATGGTAACACATTCGGGCATCTCGTGGAAACGGCCAATTCTCTCACACCAGAAGCAACTTGCAGTTTCTCAAGTCGCTTCTGACACGATAGAAAAAAAATTAAATGGTTAATTGTTTAACTAGCACAAATGGTTTAATTGTTGTTTAATTTTCTATATTTATTTTAATATATTCATGTTGTTTTGTATTAGCATTGTTTTACCTTTATCGTTAGACGCCTTAAGTCTTTATATAAGGAGAAAAGTAGGATGAAAATAACATAAAGTAACTATACACCTTGTATTATTTGACCTTCCGAGTACTTGTATTAAAAAAGGCAATATTATCCTTACCAAAAACTCAAGGAATTGTTAATGTTTGCAATGATGGTTGCCTCAAAGTAAGGTTGTTGCTTGTTGTCCTTAATGAAAGTATCAAGCTCTTTCTTGTAACTAGAGGGACAGAGAGAAGTAGTAAGAAGAATTCATACGTTCAACTAACAGTCAGAGCTTGTCACAATAGGTAATTCAACAACTTGTTGCCTTACCTTTGCAGAAAAGTTGAGAATTCAGACATAAGTAAGTCTGAAATGCTTTTGCCCAGCTCCAGGGTAATGTCTTCAGCACGTTTTTGTGCTCCATGGATGGCCTAAAACACAAAAATATAAAAGGATCAGCATTATATTACCCAATAGCCTAAGACTCATAATTCCATGAACATTAGAATTGCCTCTAATAGCAAACTGAAGTGGTTGAGTTCAGAAACTGGAAAAAGTACCTTGGATCCCACAGCTATAACTTTACCAAGCTTTGCTTCAGCGTTTATCAGTTTGGAAGCCAAGTCTACAAAGTAGTAGTTTTCCGATACAAAAAGAATGCATGCATATTTATATTTTGCTTGGAATATAAAAAATACAGATGTTTGCGAATTAAAAGAGAAATTAAAACAAAGTCAAACAGCCAGAAAACAAAAATAAAGTGGTTTTTTTTTTAAAAAAAGCAAAATATAAAATAAATAAAATTCAAAAGAAACTGGAAGGTAGGCAAGATATGTATGTATTAGGCCTGGGTAACAACGGAAAAATTTGTTTCTAAAATCGATTTGTATTTGGGGGTTTTTTTTGTTTCGATATTTAAAATAATTACAAAATTTTCCTTTTAAAAAGTTCGATATTTACGAAATTTCATAAATGGTAAAAAATTAACGAATCGATTTCCGAAACAATAACGAATCGATTCGTTAATGGCGGACGCGACCGCGAAATACGCTAAAAAACCTCCAAAAACTTCTGAAGCTTCCCTCTCCCTCTGTTGTTGACTGTTGGTGTGATATTATATTTTTTTTTCACTAATTAAACCATAAAACTGGCCCAGACATGCGGAAATAATAACGAAACGACCTCAAAACAATAACGAAACGAATACAATATCGAAATACGAAGCATTTACAAAACGTTTTTGAAAATTCATTTTTTTAATAATTGCTCCAGAATGGTTCGTTATCGTTTTGTAATTGAAAAAATTAACGAATTATTAACGAATTACGAATTAACGAAACGAAACCGCCCAGCCCTAGTATGTATATATGCTTGTCGATACAAATAAAGTATAGTTTATTACCTGTATGACATCTATTGACAGTTCACTGTGAAAATAACCATGCAGTTGAACTGGTTCCATTCCTTCCGTCCACCTCAAGGCTTCTACTTTCAGGCACTGAGTCAACCAGCGTTTAAGAGAATCCTTTACAGGGCAAGGAGAAAACCCAAAAAAAAATAGATTAGCAGCTGAAATTTCTCATGTATAGATGTGTAGTAAAGGTGACATTAAGTCTAGTCATTTCTGACTCTGGGGGGCGGCGCTCATCTCCATTTCTAAGCCGAAGAGCCGGTGTTGCCCTTAGACACATCCAAGATCACGCGGCTAGCATGACTGCATGGAGCACCGTTACCTTCTCGCAAAAGTGGTACCTATTGGTCTATCTACATTTGCATGTTTTCGAACTGCTAGGTTGGTAGAAGCTGGGCCTAACAGCAGGAGCTCACCCAGCTTGCCAGATTCAAACCACCAACCTTTCAGTCACAAATTCAGCAGCTCAGCGGTTTAATCTGCTGCACCACTAGGGAGCTCATATACTCATGTGTATATGAATATATGCATAAGTCTAGAAATGTTAGCCAAAAATTAATCCAAGAATGCTGGGTCAACGTATCCACAGATCAATATAAGTACTGTATCTTAACTCTTGTCCAAGAAAGGGAACCATTAAGGGCCAGAGTGGTGAAAGGCAAGAGTTCGGTTCATCCTGGGAGACCCTGAAGAAGCACCGAACCACTCAACTCCTCCATTGTGGTGACCCTCTTTGCAGAATGTCCCTCAACTTATCCATGGGCCATATCAAAATCCATAGTTTTGGCCCCCAAAATGGCCCCAATGGCCCCCAAAATGGCCCTCATGTATGAGGTTGACTTATACATGAGTGTATATGGTACATTTAAATCACTGTAATGCAAATAGAAGTCTGTCTGAAGAATCTGGCAGTTTAGTGTTGTAATTTCCAGTTATGGTAACACAATGAGCATGTGTCTCATCACAGTTGTCTACACCCACTATGATTCAATATTTGTAGCACCCGCTGTTAACTGAAACAGTCAATCTGGTCTCACTTTCAGGTTTAGACAAACAAATAGTTTATTTCACCAATGAAAGGAGACACCCATTTATACAACATCCTCTTCACAGTTTCCTGCCCTGCGCCAATTTGATTAAATTACTAATCAAGTCACATTTTTAATTCATATTTTTTTTATTTTTCACTACTTTATCATCTACTTTTTTCTGATTTTTTCTCCTTCTTTTCTCTCTCTCTCTGTTATAATTTGATTCCAGTTACTTAGAAGTTCTTAAGTCAAACATTTGAAATACTAGTTCAGAAATCCCGCTCGCCCAGTTAGTACTGGTGAAGGTCTGAGGAAGAGAGAATCACTTGCCATTGGTTGCGAGCCTTTCAGCAGTCTTCCAGTCATAGGTAACAGGCTCACTTGTGAGCAGTTTCTATGTGTTTAGGATAATATTGGCTGTGCAAATAATCTCTTCTCATAAACAATTGTCTTTTGCTGGAATGGGTGGAGTTCCCTGTGAGCTTGCAGAATAACATCTCACACCCCACAATCCTTCTTTCTTCTATAGGAATTTTTGTTATGCAATCTAAAGATGTTTACTGAAATCTGCGTTTTTGTAAAAGGGAAGAACCACCAGCCACATTGATTAAATCCTGGATATTTAACAACCTCATCATACGGGGCTTCTGTCAAAGCTCCATGGGTCATCTAGAGTGGAGCTGCATATGCTGCCACATGGGCAACACAGGAAACTTCCCATGTTGCTCAGGAAGCAATGGGAGGGGTGGGGGAAGCCACATGACTGATGGTTCCCCCCACTGGATCAGCTTTCTGTTGAGCCAGGCAATGTGAGGCATGGAGTGACGGGTTTCTCATTCTCCGCCGACAATGGTTGACGGATTCACCATGACACTTGGTGATTCCGGTGGCCCATGTGACGAGGTAGTTAGTATAAATGTGTATGTGAATCTGATTGAACATATTGTAAAGCTGTAGTGTAAAGAACAAATAAGTATCTTACCACTTCGTTAGCCAGGTATGTAGCTTCGAGCTGTTTGATCTGTCTCGGTGGTAAAAGGCTTCCAAGATTGGCTCCTTTCAGATCTTTCTCTAAATCAGGGTTATGTTTGATTTGACTGAAATGGCCAAAAAGGAGATTGCAGTCAGTTCAAGATGGCCAATTCCAGCTACCCCAGCCATGCCAGTTTCCCAGAGTCTCCAATAGAAACCAGATGTGTACAAAGACTAGCTGTAAAACCACAAAAAATACTTGGATCCAGCATAAAAACCACCCAGATTTCATACTTGGGATTTTACACTTCTGGCCTGTTCAAAGCCTTAAAACGCATAGTTGATATTGGCATCTTTTTCAATGGGAATTCAAGTACAGTGTTTTGTCTTAGCTGCTGAAACTCTGGCAGGAAAAGGATTTTAAAAGAATTTTTAAGATAACTAAATGAAAGGCATGAAATCTGATAGAAAATTAGAGTTCAAGTAAAGGAGACTGTAAGTATGGATGTTTTAAAGTCAATGGGAAAAATGCTTCCCTTTGAACAATACTTTCATATCCTGCTAGTGTGTCACTTGTTAAAAAGTCATCCAAGTGTGGCAAGCTTGTGTTCAGATGCCATGAAATTAACCATGCCTTCATGTTGCTGCCAGGATTTTCTTAATTATTCCCCATTGAATCAAAATAGGAATAATTATTTTCACTACCAGGAATTGCTGCAGGGTTAGGCAGGGCAATAAGCAGAACTGCTCTCTGCTGACCAATGGAACATAGAAAATTATTTGTTATTCTAGCTCATTATTACCTATTGGCCAAAATCCTATTGGTATATTTTATCTATATGGAGGTGAAGTCTGTACTGCATTCAGGGCTGTAGGAGTGAAGTTGTGTATCTTGTGTCATGAGGCATGCAATTGTCGCCGATTGGCTGAGAAATACAGTAAATACAGTAAATTGTGCATACAGTAAATTGTGAAATACAGCTGAGAAATACAGTAAATACAGTAAATTGTGCATACAGGATCATGGGTACATAAGGTGCAAACTACAAATGCATGCACACCTGGTTGTAGATTAACATGCAGAATGTTGCCTTTCAAGAGAAGGACTGTGTACCATAAGAAATGTGTAATTCCACATTAGGAGTTTTATGCTATTATTGCACCCTAATGGTATTATAATATTTTTAAGCTCAAATGCACTGTGCTTCACTTCTGTATCAGTCTGTGATTTATTGTTGTTGTTGTAATATTTATACCCTGCTTTTCTCTGCCTAAGGAGACTCAAAGTGGCCAACATTAAAAACCATAAGACTGGTGAATTAAAACCTAACACATATAAAAGACTGCATTCCCAAATCAGGTGTGCTGTCCTCTTGGCAGAATCCAATTTTGTTACCTGCTCTCCTAACTAAGCAGAGAAAGGGTGAGTGATAAGGAGTGGAGTTATACTAGATCTCCTCAATCCAATACAGCTTCATTATTGGCACAAAGTTAGACCAAGATGAAGGTGGTCCTAAATAATTTCGAGCATTCCTTGGCTGGTAGGGGTTTGGATTCATCACAGCTTTGGCTGAGCTAAGTGGCAGCTCAGTTGGCCCTTGGTCAACTAAAGGCCCTTCTACAGTATACTAAAATCCAGGAGGAGATGGATTAAAATTGGGTGAATCTTGGGAGGTCCCCACCCCTCACCCAAAACCTGGGCTTTCCCTCAGCAGGTGGCTATATGCCATCCCCAGGCCCCCATTTGGGCCCCCAAAGCTTACTGGACAGGCTTGCCAGCAGCACAGGCATCTCCTTACAGTTCTTCTGGGAAATCCCTCCCCCCACCTCCTGGCATGAAATCTTCTCACACCAGGAAGACTGTAGGGAGAAGCCTGTGCTGCCAGCAAGCCTGTCCAGTAACTTATGGGGCCCAAATGGGAAGCTGGAGGGGAGGAGGTGGGTGCCATCCTGCTCCTCCAGGATTTTGGGAGCTTGAAGAAGCAGTATGGCTGTAGGGACCGACCCCTGGGACTGTAGAAGCAGCCTTTCAGTTAGGTAAAAAAAAATGCAAGACAGGTCCTGCATTTTGGACTTGTTTGAAAGGGCCCTAAGATTGTACTCTCACTGTACAATGATCCAAATAAGTATACAGACAAGGATAAATGAGGACTTACTTTGGGTAAAAGTTCTGCACCCAGGAGAGGAGAAGGTAAGTGTCCTTTCTCCCTAGTTCAAACTGAGCAATAGTCTCCAGCTGAGAAGAGAAACAGTTGTAGTAAAACTTGGCATAAGTGCTGCACACTTGAAAATGCTCAGGGTAATGAGGTTTAATATTTTGCACCACTGTGATAAGATCCTTTTTCATTGTGTTCCCCATGTGCAGGAAAGTGTGAGCCGTGGTAGAGAGTTTAGCATTCCCATCAAATGGGGGGACGTCCATTCGCTTGTTTACAGATGCTTCGATTGAATTTCTCCAGTCCTCTTTCCATTTTCTGGGTCGAGAACACACAGTTTTCTCTGGTGACTTTTCTTCTGACATAGATTTCTCATCTTCCTTCACTTGGTCTACAATGGCTCTCACTGCATTCCGCAGCAATTCTGGCTGAGATTGTGCAATGCTGATGGAACAGTGTACAATGGTGAGGACTTCCTGCTTCAAAAGCCCAAGCAGGTCTTCAATTTCATTCTGATCATCGATCTTTTCCTCCTCAGTTTTACCCTCTGAGTCACCACCATTAGCTCCTCTTTCCATGACCAGGAGATGTTGACTGGCTTCCATGAATTTTTGCTCCTGAATTAGTAATCTGATTTGGTCAGCTGGTAGAAAAAAAGAAGGACACCATAGCATTTCTTTTAATCCAAATGTTATTGATTCATTCACTATATATATTTCACATCTGCAGCACAATACTTCTCAGAGCAGCTCACATTTTAAGCATTGCTTTAAAATTAAATAGTAAAACAGTATGTGTGAAATGAATCTAGAGTTTGGGACAAACGAAACATAAATCAATAGTAGGATGCAGTGGCCAAAAGAGACAATGCAATTCTAGGGTGCAGCAGTGTCGTTCTGTCTTGCTTTGGTCCAAATACTGTGTCCAGAATACAAGAAGACTGTGTCCCATTCTGGGCAATACAGTTCAAGAAGGATATTGGCAAACTAGAATACTTCCAGAGGAGGACTAAAAGTCTGGAAACCATGCCCTAAGAGAAACAACAGAAGGAACTTGATATGTTTAAACTGGGAAAGAGAAAAATGAGTGGTGATATGATGGCCATCTTTAAACATCACTAGAAAATGGACTGAACTTGTTTCCTTTTGCTTCGGAAACTAGAATCATAGAGTTGGAAGAGGCCTCGTGGGCCACCCAGTCCAACCCCCTGCCAAGAAGCAGAAAAATCACATTCAAGGCACTCCTAGATGTTGCAAACTAGATGTCACTTAGGAGTTTATTGTGCCAGTCTGTTGTCTCGCAGCAATTGCTGTTTTACCTTTTGATTTCTAGTCTGTTGTGCCAGTCTGTTGTCTCGCAGCAATTGCTGTTTTACCTTTTGATTTGAATTCTACATGTCCAGAATTCCCTACACAATTCCTAGACTGCTCCTCCTCATTTAGCGTAGCCTTATCATTTTTCTCGAGTAGAATAAACATGCTGTTACTAGAGCAAAAGATTCCTTGTCAGTGGTAATCTGGCTGGTCAGGTTCTTCTACATGAATGGTGACTCAAACTCAACTTCAATATTCTTTCCACATTCCAACTTTAGTAAAACTTTTTAACTGGCTTCCAACATGGAGAAGGTGTGGCTTTGAACCTACAGCCCTAGCGTGCACAGATCAAAGCTGTGAACCACACCAACAGGTGTTTCCTTTCTTGGTTCCTGTTTCAAAATGAATATAACTGTGAAACTGGTTGTCTCAATACACATTAAAAAGTCAACTGGTTCCTTGAGATTTCAGTGGCTCAAATATAAGGAAGGTTTTTGGTGTGTTTTGTTTTTTTGCATAAATTGCCCTTCAGAGAAGAAGGAAGGCTATGAAGTCTTTCACGTAGTGTAAAATCACGAGCAGTTTGCTCTTTTGCCAGTAACACATTAGGAGCTTGTGATCTGAACTGGGTATTAGGGCTCTTCCACACTGCCCTTTACCCCAGGATCTGATCCCAGATTATCTGCTTTCAACTGGAATATAATTCCCAACTGCCAGATAACCTGGGATCAACAGATAATCAGAGATCAGATCCTGGGGTAAAGGGGCAGTGTGGAAGGCTCCTTAGATGTTTACAGTGCTGTTGTTGTGTCCCTTTAAATTGTTTCCAACTTAAGGTGACCCGAAGATGAAGATATCACAAGTTTCTCCTGGCAAGATTTATTTGGAGGGGGTTTATTCTTGTCTTCTTCTAAAACTAAGAGAATTTCAGTTCTTCTCACTTCAGTTCTTCTCACTGGTTTCCGTGGCTGAATTGAGGTTTGAACCCTGGTCTTCCAGTGTCTTAGCTCAATGCTCCAACCATGTTGGCTTTTTCTTTCAAAGTGAGGCAGCCTTATTTTAAGATTATGGACCATGCCTGAGACCTCATTGCTATAACCCTGGTTCTAACTGCAAAGAGAATATATAAGAGCAGAAGAAAATGCCACTGCAAATGACCACTCCCTTTCATGTCCTTTCTTCTTCCTGAAAACAAGCATGCTGTTTGCCCTATGGCCTGATTATGTGATACTGTGTGCACTTCTTCTGCCTAGTTGCCACAACATTAGCTGCTGATGAACATGTGGAAACATAGTGGAATGGCAATGGGACACTGAAGTCATTTCTATTACAGATCCCTCTCATTTATTCAGCAAATTAATGATCATGGCATTGTCAAAAACGGAAAATGGTTGACAAATGAAAGATAAATGCTAAATGGCACCAAGTCAACTGAGAGGAGCGGGGACGGTGAAGACAGTGGGTGTCTGAAAGTGTGGACCAAGGCTTGAATATGTATTACATGGCTATAATTTAGATCTTAAAAAAGCAATGCATTGGAATGTGAGGCATCAAAAGGTGAGGGAATTCTGTATACATTTGGGCAAGGGTAGGCTCAAAATCTGATTTCTTATCCGATGTACTTTGTCATCAACTTAATATTTTTATTTATATCATTATATGCACTCCAGAGCTTAGGAAAAGATATTTTTGGATTGCAACTTCCAGAATGCCCCCATGATGTCAGGGGTTGTTGAAGGTAGTCACAAGCAGCAGTGGCTTCCATGTTAACAGGGTGCTGAGCATGCTCAGGTTTTGGTCTGAAATTTGAATAAGCAACCCCATATCTAAAACTGGTTCAGCACAATCAGTAAAAGTAAAAAAGACAAGCCTAGAATGAACATAAAGTGAATAGTTTTACAATTGAACCACTTACCTAGTTTGTAGGGGCGATTTCCCCTTACTAGAGATCTCTAAATGGACAACTATCTGCTGAGCTTGCTCCAGATCTGGATTTCCAACATGAAGCAGACGGTCAAAATGGAGCTTAGAAACATTCTTGGGCTACAAATCCTAGAATCCACCTGCCAACATGACTAGTCAATATGCTGAATGAGGATTGTGGGAATTGTAGACAAAGCAGCAAAGCTCCCATATTTACTTTTAATTGGAGTGGGGATGTAAGGAATATTAAAAAATATTTGGGAAATTATCAAAAGGCATGTTTTTTGAGTATTGGGTAATGTGGGCTGAGAAGCATGCTGGACTGATAAAAACAATTGCAGTTTCAGATTTATTCTGTGCAAAATTTGCAAACATGTATCCTGTGCAGAAAAATCTGTAATTCTGGATTTATTTACAAAATTTGTGCATGGATAATTTGCATAGAAAACAACAATTTCTGATCAGGAAACAAGACTTTGGTTCAAGAAAAAAGATTTATGTGTATATAGTTTTCTGTGCAAAATAACCATGTGTAAACTTTGCACAGAATACACCCTAAATTGTGAATAGCATCAAGGGTATGGTTTTTCGAAGAATTTCTTGCAATAGGAAGAAACTTGCTAACATTTCTTATTCCTTCCAGAAGAAACTTGGTGAAGAATTATATACTCATATGTGGTATGTATTTTTGTATATGTTGTACTCATATGTTGTATGTATTTTACTGTGTTGTTATTGTGTTTTGGTTTTATTTTATTGTAATATGCTGTTGGGCTTGGCCTCATGTAAGCTGCCCCAAGTCCCCATTGGGGAGATGGTGGCGAGGTATTAAATTAAGATGATGATGATGATGATGATGATGATTATTATTATTATTATATTCATAGTTCCGAGTCAGACAAAATGCTTTTCAATCAACACTTTCTATAAATTGATTATTCTAAGATTTTTTTTCATTATCTGGTTTATTTTTACTTTGCATATATTACTCATTGCATTTATTTATGTTGTAAGCTGCCCTGAGCTCTTTTGGGGAGATGGGGCAGAGTATAAATAAAGATGATGTTGATTATTATTGGATTTCCGCTAGTGGACAAATTTATATAGGAAAGGCTGTTTATTCTCTGTACCTGTAAAGGATTGGCTCTCTTCCTTCTGAGGTTCCTTAAATTTGGGTTTTTCTCTGCTTTTTATTCCAGTCATATCAAACAGAGCATTAACGAGTTTTTTCCGGAGTCCCTTTTGCTTCTTTTTGATTCCACTGATTTCCAGAGGAGACCCCTCAAACTCTTCCGAATCCCGTCCCTGGTTTCCAGATGTCATGTTTCCTTTGTACGGAGATTCTTCTATGGAAGATTCAAGTGACACAGAGTCAAGCTCTGATTCTGATGATGTTGATGCTTTGCTCCTGGTATCTTTGTTTTTGTCAGATTTTGGAGGAGGGCTATAGAAAAAAGGCATCGATTTCATCATCTCCTTTCTCTGAACCTGCCAATCAAATGAAGAAAGATTTGCACTGAGTAAGCTGAAAGATATATAATTGATCAGTCAAAAAGGAGAAAAAGTTCATCAAGTACACAATATCAAAGCAAGGATATTCTCCTTTAAGAGCGTGGGTTAAAGCACTGAGCTGCTGAACAGGTTCTAATCCGGGGAGCGGCATGAGCTTCCGCTGTCAGCTCCAGCTTCTGCCAACCTAACAGTTCGAAAACATGGAAATGTGACTGAATCAATAGGTATTGCTCTGGCGGGAAGGTAACGGTGCTCCATGCAGTCATGCTGACCACATGACCTAGGAGGTGTCTACAGACAACACTGGCTCTGCAGCTTAGAAATGGAGATGAGCACCACACCCCAGAGTCAGACATGACTGGACTTAATATCAGAGGAAAACCTTTACCTTTACTAATAATACTTACTATTGATAGAAGGATATCCTTTTGATATAGGACACCAATATACAAATCACAGTTGATGCAGCTCATTTTGGGGTATTTTGGGGTATCTCCAAATTGAATCAGATCTGTGACCCACATCCTGGATTAGATTAAATGGTTGTGTGGAAGCACCCCCAGTCTTCAAACAATAAGGAAACATTAGTTTTCCTTGGTTTGTGACCAAAATTCAGTAGTCTGTTTGGAAGGGGGGGGGGGAGTTGGATCTTGTCCATTTTGTACAACTGCAGATTTTGTTGGTATCAACTGAACTTTGGTCACAGATTTATTGGCGGAGCCTCTTTTGAACTTTCCCAGTGAGTGGGGAAAACAGTAATGAATGATTCAGCGGCATGTGGGTAAAAGCAGCCTCACCAACAGAATTGTCATTAGACATGTCTTGGGATAATACTTTGCGTGTGTAGGGGGGGAAAAAACACTCTCTTGTTTATTTTAAGGGTTACAAGGAAACAGGAAATCTTGATAGTCATGGGTCCCAAGGGAAGAATACATCTCTTAATGTCATACTAATTGCACTTACCAAACAATAGTTCTATATTTTCCAAAGTTCAAAATGTTACTGAAGAATTATGGGCAAGGGATGAAGTGTGTCTTTTCTCAGTCTCCATGCCAGAATTCCCACATCACACACTTTTGGGGAAATGTTATCTGAGTATTTCATGTTGGGTATTTAATTTTAGAGAGCTAGTCAGTGTACACATCCGTGGAAAACAGTGTGATTTAAATCACAACACTTTAACTCTATTTTAAACCATGTCAAAAAGTAGGAAATGCTGGTTTTAAATCACTGGAAGAAGCTGATTGTCTCTCAATGGCATCTAACACATTTCTTCAGTTATTGTGCATACTAAATGTTTAAATTTGCAATAGACACAGCAGTCCTACAGTACAGACTAAGGACAGGAATTGTGTTGTTGGAGTGCAGTTCCTAGCATTCCTCACCATTAGCCATTCTAAGAGCTGCTGGGACATCCAGTCCATCAGTCTCTGAAGAGCCACATGATTTCTTCCCATAATATAGATTTAAGAGAAAATGCCACTGAACTAAGCGGGCTTTCTTCTGAGTTGTCATGTATAGTATAGGCCGAATATCCCTTATCTGGAATTCCGAAATCTAAAATGCTACAAAATCCAAAAATGTTCACATGAGTGAATGAGCTGATGACCCCTTTGCTTTCTTATACAGTAGAGTCTCACTTATCCAATATAAATGGGCAGGCAGAACGCCAGATAAACAAAAATGTTGGATAATACGGAGTCTCCTACTGTTACCTGCCCAACACAGTGCTAGATGTAACAGTCAGTTAGGAAATAAAGACAGAAACTTTCAGACAGGAGGGACCTTTATTTTGTTATCTCACCTCTGTCTACCTTGAACATATATGTATGTACACGTGAGGCATTGAGGCGATACAGGGAGTGAGGAATCAACCCTCACAAACTCAATGACTTGCAGTTTATGCTGGGAACCCGCTATTTCTGTCTCTGTGGTGCCTTTATTAATATGTGTTTGTTACAGGATGCAATCTTTATATGTCTGTGTGTATTTCTTCAATGTGTAATCCAAACGTGGAGTCAATATGCAGCTTCCAACTTCTCCTCACAGGTTACCTTAATGTAATCACAGACTGATTTCCAGCCGTGTAACTTTAGTCCTGTAACTTGACACGAGACCTCAATATATATGTCGTAACAAAGAAATGTTTATTTATGGATTCTTTTGCACATAAGCTTATATGTTGCAAAGTACTTCACTTCAGTTCCACTTGGATATTATTGCAACTGTCTTTAAATACATGAAATTGTTATTACATAACTTTCAAACAGTTAACTTATTTTTACTCTGTTAATCTACTTTCTTCTCCTTCAAAATATATTTCTCAGCCTCCTGGCTGGTTAGCTTATGACTTTTAGTCACTCTCTTCCATCACTAGTTTGACTGAAAACTTATTCATCAAAGAATCTCTGTCTCTCAGTTCTACTTAACTGATAATTTAGACTTATTCTAGCTTTTTCTTTACTTCAGTATAACAATGGAAGCTACAAACTTAAAAATACTGATCCTCTTCCCTCTAGCTCCTGGATAGAGACTCACTACTTGTTAAAATGTTCCCCTCTATTTTTATCTAGCTCCACCCCTTTCTTGTTAGCCACTCTAAAATAGATACATTTCTACTGTAAAGGCTACATATCCATGATAACACAGCGACTAATAAGATGTAACCAACCAAGATCAGTACTAACAAACATAGACAATAAAACTTCACTATAATTAGCTTTTCCGTTACACTAGACACCTAGAATGCTAACAACAGGGACTCAAAGGGTTAACGCAAGACAACGCCTCAAGGCGTGACCAGATGTGGAATAGGAAGTGCCCAGATGTGGAAGAGGAATGTAGAAATCACAGGGGGAAGGAGGGAGGACACTTCCACTTTTGGTTCTGCTTCTTTTTCTCCTTTTCTCCCTCCTCCTCCTCCTTGTCTTGTCTTTTTCACTTATTGGAAATGGAGCGAGAATTGGGGAGCACTCCTTTAATTGAAGGGGAAATGTTGGAGCAAAAGAGGGTAAGTCAGATAAGAGCGTCGGATAAGACGAATTGTCGGATAAACAAAGGTCCGATAAGTGAGACTCTACTGTAGTACATGTAAACAGACTTTGTTCCATGCATATTGTGTATTTTGTGCAAAAGATGTACTTGAAACATACATGATGTGTTCAGATTTGGGTCCCATCTCCAAGATATCATATTATGTATATATATGCAAGCGTAGGGATTCCAAAATTCCCAAAATCTCAAACACTTCTGGCCCCAACTTGTAAAGCATGTGGAGACAGTGTCAATGTGATCTAAAAGGAATTATTTCCCCACTTCTTTCTGTTTCAGTTCTCTCTTCTTTCTTTTCTTGTAACTATCCTGCCTAAATCCCACAGACCTTTCTAAACCATTTTTATGTTATGCAACTCATCTGCTTTGTATTTAGAGCAAGCGAGAGCAAAAGAACCTCCACATAGCAAAGGCTTGTATTAAATTCCAGGCAGAAGCGGAGGCGCCATGTCACTCTTTGTTACCAAACCAACAAAAAGTTCTTTGGCACTTCAAAGCCTAACAAGCTTTGTTGGGCATAAACTTTCATGGACTGCAACCATTTCCTCAAACATGCAAAATCTTGCTTTAGTTGCCAGATTATCTATATACTTGGGTTGGTTGTGTTGTGTTAGTGAGAGCACTGTGGGATGGAAATCAGCCAACACAGGGATAATAAAAATACAAAAAGGACCTGAGATAATGATCACCTTGCACATTTGCAAAACAAAGTTAGGTAACAGACATTTTTGCAATTAAAAAACTATTCACACATATGTTATTAACTATATATTGACTTATAGAGAGTAAACAAGGCAATGAGAGGCAACAGTGTTCGACTAGGGTTTCATCTATATTGTAGAATTAAAGCAGTTTGACACCACTTTAATTATCATGACTCAGTTCTATGTAATCATGGGATTTTGAGTTTTTCAATGACTTCAGCCTTCTCTGCTAAAGAGTACTGGTATCTCACCCAACTGCAACTCTCAAGTTTCCACAGCAGTAAGCCACGGTAATTAAAGTGGTGTCAAACTGCATTAAACTGCTGGTGCTGAGGATGGAGGGCAGACTCTGTACCCGATTATTTCCATCAGTGCCTCGAGACTGTTACTGGATGGCTGTGTGCCAGCAGGTTGAGGGTGAATCCAGCAAAGACGGAGATTCTATGGCTTGGTCGACCGGGCAGTGGGGATATCCAGCTGCCTACCCTGGATGGCAAGGAGCTACGCCTGTCATCATTGGTAAAGAGTCTGGGAGTCCTTTTGGACCCTCTGCTGATGATGGAGGCCCAGGTCTCCGCCGTGAGCAGAACCGCCTTTTTTCACTTTTGGCAGGCTAGACAGCTGGCCCCCTACCTGTCCAGGGATGACCTAGCTACTGTGATCCAGGCTATGGTCATCTCAAGTTAGAAAAATAAATAAATAAACAAATAAATAAATTGTACAGTGTAGATCACCCTAGGACTCTGGGAAGCCAGGGCTCAAATACTGGCTCAGCTTTGGCAAATCACAAGCCACCTCTATTACATCAGTCACTTAATTTGAAGCTAGTTTGGAGCATTATGCTCCTGATTGGCCCCAAATTAACCATGATTGGGCCAGACCCTCCATGATGCTGTGTTGATGTCCAGCCCGTCCCACCAGGTCAAGAGTGCATTAGGCCCACTGGCCCATGCCCTTGTACTCTGGGTCATCACAAGACACAGAGTTTCAGGCAAGAGCCTGACCATTGCAGACATGCCTGTTGGCATAATGGGGCACCCATGTGATCAGCATACAGGATAGAATGATCCCCCTTTTCCTGCTGATCACACAGGCATCAAACAATGGGCTCAGCAGATGAGATCCTAACAGCCAAGGTCTTGTAGGAGTGCCATGGCCAGCAAGGAGTAGCAGGAGCAACACGAGGCTGACCAAATACAGGGTGATGTGCATGGAAAATGT